CCAGTGCAGGGCTTGAACCCACAAAACCAAAACAATGACATCATTACCTGCGTCGAAACCAAGAGTCAGGCACTCAACTGACTGAGCCACGTAGGCATCCCAAAGATGTACATTTTAAAAACAAAACCAAAAATTATTAAAAATTAAAGGGAAGTTTGTAGGAAAAAACATAGGAAAATATTTTTAAGTCTGGAAAGATCTTTCTAAGATAAGAAAATGATATTTCATGGATAGTAATAATTGAATGATGCAATTATGCAACAATGTAGACAAGAATAAATGCCAAAAGAATAAATAATTCTAGGAGGAAAAAATTATAAAACATAAAATAGACAAAAGGTTAATATCTTTAAACATTAAAAGTTAGTATAAATGAATGAGGAATGAACAGAAAATGTGCAAAGAATCAAAATAGGCAATTCACACTACAAGAAAAATGGCCAATATACACAAGAATAGATGTTCAATATGTTAAAAAAAAATCTGTGATATTGAAATATCATAGCTTTCCTACCAGACTGGAAAACATAACAAAAACAATTAGCCCCAGTGCTGGTAGCACAGCATGAGAACATAAATATATATCTATAAGGATATTCATTGCTATATCATTGCTGTAATAAAAGAAATTATTACAGCTTTCATATCCATCAGTCAAGCAATAAATAAATCATGGCATATACATTACAATAGAATGTTCTGTTTCCATTTTTAAGAAAAAAGGTATCAGCCATGGTGTACAGTTAAGTGAAAAAGCAAACTGAAAATTAAAATGAATAATTCTTTTCTTCTCTCTTGTATCCATGATAACACTTCACGTTATAAGTAACAGAAAATCCCACCTCATTTTGGCTTGAACACAAAGGGAAATGTCTTTGCTCCTGAAACTGAAAGGTACGTTTCTAACTATCAGGTTTATAAAGATTGAAGGAGGACCGCATGTCTTTGTAACTGTGCTCTGCCGTCCAGGTGTTGAGTCTCCTAAGATCAGGACTAAAGGGAAATGAGTGAGAACTTACCTCAGCGAAAAACGTAAGCAGGCACCAAAATATCAGTAAACAGGATAAGTAATATTTAATACAATTTTTAAATCAAAATTAATGCAAAATATCCATGATGAACAATATGTCAAAATTTAAAATAAAGACAGAATTGACCACGCTGTACTGAACCATATCAGAGCCCAAGACAAAAGGGAAAATGGGAGCACCTATATATATGTGTGTGTTTTATGTGATTTTAATGGTTCATTTTTTCCCTAATTTTATTTTGGAAGCATTATCTATGAATTTCTCCCACCAAATCCAGTAAAAGTGTAATAAATTCTAACTTTTATATAAATAGTATATTTAAACTTAATGCTTTGAGTTTTAATACACTTACTTTTCAGTGTTCAATATTTTTTTAAACCACTTTAATTCTGGGGGAAAAAATCAGCCATACTCCCCACTCTGCATAGTCAAAATCTCTGCAGCAGTTTAAGAGGTCAAGTGTGTACTTATACTACATTATCCAGAGGATTCAAGAAGATCTCATCGGAATCAATAGTTTATTCAGTTTATTTCAGGAAAACCTAAAATTCTTGAGAACCAAATATTTATCACCTTCCCAGAAACTTACCCAAGATCAAGAGAAAGTTCTTCCCCAACATGTGAAAGAAGCAGACAGATGCAGACTCTGGAGCAAAATAGGACAGACAGTATTTGAACCTCATCCACAGGAATCCCTTGGGCAAGAAGAGAGCTTCTATTCCACTAGGTCTTTAGGGAGTGTCTGGTTCAATTAGACAGAAGCAGACCCCAGGAGGACTAATCTCCAGAGATCACTCACCCAGGAACCAGAGTGGGTGGGCAATCTATGTCCTACCTGCAGCAGTCTGTACACACAGCACCTGTTAATGACTCCATGTCTCTGGCTAAGATATGGACAGACTGGATTTGAGTTGCTGCTGGTCAATACATAGAACATTAAAACCCTGCCTATACCTGCTAGACCTCAATGTACATAGAAACCTATGGAGATGTAGAAGAAATAATAGATCACAAGGAATTAAGTGGTGTGTGTGTGTGTGTGTCCATCCAAATGATTTTCAGTCATAAATTAGACAATATTCAACAGTGAAGGGTCCAGAGGTCAAACACCTCACCAACATTTCAAATTAGCAATCTGTAAATATACATAGGGAACCCTATGCTAGATGCTGGAACTATAGTGATGAGTAAGACATATTCTCTACTCTCACAGAACCCAAGTTCTGATGACTTCATAGAGTAATTAATATTCAGTTGAAACCATTAATGTCATTGCTGTGGAGAACCAGAGGACAAAGTTATCACCTCTGACTTGGGGGGTATTGGTGAAGACTTCAAAAAGGAATTGACATCAATATTCTACCATTTGCCAGCTGAATGGCTTTAATTACTCATCCTCTCTGAACCTTGGGTGCCCCTGTGTATAAAACAGAGATAGCAAAGGTATTATCTCATAAGGCTGTATAAGGATTAAATAAGCTAATGCAGCAGAGCACTTAACATGGTTCCCAGCATAGATCTCTTAATAAACATTAGGTATAATTATTATACCTAATTATTATTTAATTATTATTATTATTTATTATTTTATTATTATTATTTTAATTATTATTATTATTTAATATTATATTTTAATATTATTTATTAAATTATTGTTTTAATATTTATTATTATTATTGATTATTATTAATTATTATTATTATCTATGTATTACTATATGGTGTGTTTTGAGATAGTAATGGAAAAGTCAGTTAGGACTAGATTATGAATTTAATGCTTAGTTTAGAAATGACCCTGTAGTCCCATGATTTCTAAACTGTGGCTAATGGAACAGTAGGTTATTTTAGAGATATAAAGTGAAATGCTCTCAGAAAAATTATATGGATGTGGACACAAATATCAATGGTCACTTTAGTGTGGAGATATGCTGCAAACTCTAGCCTTCCCTTGGACAGACATATGCATGACCACAGAGTGTAAGCATTTTTCAGTTATTTGACCATGGAACTTTTTTATTAAATATCCATTATGATATCTGCTATTTCTGTAGAACATTCTATGGAAAACAGTTCTATAAGTAATGAAGATTACTTGAAAGTATTTGACAGAAAGCAGTATCATTAGCCATGCCTTTTAGAATGTTTAACTTTGAGTCAATTGGTAGTTTAGGTTACAGTGTAAAAGACTGAAAACAATGAAATCAATTAAGAAGCTAATGCAGTATCTGAGGTGAAAGATGATAGACATAATTAATTGGTAGAGGCAATGTTACAAAGAAGACTAACAATACTAAGAACTTAGCATTAATGAAATATTTCTCAGATACTTATGATGAGACAAGGATTGTGTTAATTGCTACATATATGGTTTATTTCACTTAATCCTCTCAACAACCCCATGAGATATTATTTACTATTCCCATTTTACAGATGAAATATATTTCACATATTCATACAGCTAGAAAGCAATAGGGGCAATGCTTTCATCCTGACAGGACTCCAAATATTATCCACATAGCTATTTAGTGGTACAATCAATATTGGTAACAATCATTAACTTCTTGAGGAACAGGACAGAGAGGAATTTGAGAAATTCCCCCAGGGTTTCCAGCTCAATGTAGTTGCTGGAATCATCATAATCTAGTTCCTAAGAAAAGGAATGGAACAGGAAGAAAAGCTAGCCTGAATGATATAGTTCTACATTCTGGAGGAGATATCCAGTTAATACGTAGATTTACACATCTAATACCCCAAAAAAGAGTTCTAGGGTGGAGAAAGAGATGTACTCATTTGCGTCAGTGGTGGTTGAAGAAATGAGTGTACATGACCTTTTCTGAGAAAGCATGAAAGAATGAAGGTCAAGACTGTGAACTACTCCAACTTTGCTAACCTGTCCAGGAACAATGTGCTATAATTACTAATAATGAGAAGGGTAGGAGCCAGGTTAGAAAAGAAAATCAAGAGTGACCTGTTTCCTCCTACTCTAGTCTATTCCCTGATCTCTGTGTTACAGCAAAAATGCAAGTAGTAAGAAACTCTGCAATCTGCAGCTTGTTTACTTCCCTGACACCAAAGTGACTTTGTGAGGAACTGGTTTACTCATCCCTGGTGTGTGGACTAATTTAGCTGATCACTTAAGTGCATAAGAGAAATGCTGTTCTAACATCAGGAGGTAATTGGGTAGTTGGACATTTATTGTGTCCCAGGCATTTTATAATGCACTGAGAGTACAAATATGAATGACACATACTCTTCTGATTTCAAGGAATTTTACAATCAATTAGGGGTACAAACAAATAAACAACCTATTACAATTCGCTGCATACATTTTGAGATTTGTACAAGATGCAATCAGTGTACAAAGATAGGAACCTTGGACTGCCTGGAAAAGTCAGGAAAGAGTTTTCAGGGAAAGTAGTTCTTGATCTGAAATTTGAAGAATGAGCAGTTTTCCAGATGGCTGAAGGACACGTATGACTGTTTTTCAAAAACAACTGCCATTATAAAAGTGAGTGAAGAGCTACTTGAGTTTGTACAAAGAATCAACACACATTTGGAGATAAAAAAAAAAAAGAAACTGTAATCTCTTCAGATGTTAAATATAAAACTATTTTTATCCATGTACTCATAACTCACTTCATGTTATGTTCAGTTCTCTGTGTTTCTGGAGTACGTCTGGTCTACTGAAGATACCAAATGTTCACATCAGAAGCATGTATGCTTAGTTATTATTCCTGGGTTGTGGAAGAGGGGTGTGAGAAGAGAAGAAGATAAAGAATACAAAGAAACAGGAGAAGAAGGCAAAGATGAAGAACCAGAAGAGGAAAAAAGAAAAGTTGCAGGAGGACCACAAAGAAGGTCCACGAAGAAAAAGAGGAAGAGAAGTAAAAGCCCTCTTAGTCCAGGAAATCTCTGTATTTCACACTTAATTTCCTTGATAAAGCTTGGAGGGCAGATTCCTGAGGAGCCATTAGCCCGGAGGGGAAGCACAGCACCAAGTCCTGATGTCAAAGAACCGGTGGGCTACACCCTCCCGGATCTGCTTAGTCTTCACACCATAGACAATGGGATTGAGCATTGGTGGCACCACCACATAAAGATTGGCCAGCAGAATATGGACATGTCGAGGAATGTTATGTCCAAAGCGGTGGGTCAATAATGTAAAGAAGGATGGAACATAAAACATGAGGATGACACAGAGGTGGGAGCCACAAGTGCTAAGGGCCTTGTGCCGGGCATCCTGGGAGGGCAAACGAAACACGGCTCGGAGGATCAGTGAGTAAGACACAGCAATTAGGATCACATCCACGATGACCATGACAATGGGCACTGAGAAGCCATACCAGATGTTAATGGTGATGTCAGCGCAGGCCAAGCGGGCCACTCCAATATGCTCACAATAGGAATGGGGGACAATGTTGGTCCGGCAGAAGGGCAGCCGCTTCAATAAGAAGATCACTGGGAAGATGATGCAGAAGCTTCTGGTGACAATGGCCAGACCAATCCTTCCCACAACACGCCATGTTAGCACGGCTGTATAATGCAGGGGGACACAGATGGCCACAAAGCGGTCAAAGGCCATGGCTAACAGGATGGCTGACTCCCCCACAAACATCACATGGACAAAGAAAACTTGGGTGACACAGGCATCAAAGGCAATGTCATGGGCATGGAGCCAAAAGATGGCTAGAGCCTTGGGTACGGTAGTGGTGGACAGCAGGATGTCTGTGATGGCCAGCATGGAGAGAAAGAAGTACATGGGCTCATGAAGATTACGTTCTGTGATGATGACCACTATCAGGATGCTGTTCCCTACGATGGCAGTGATATACATGAGGCAGAGGGGTATTGACAGCCAAATGTGGTAAGCCTCCCATCCAGGGATGCCCAGTAGGACAAAAACTGCAGGGTGAAAGATGGTAAAGTTGGTGTGAGTCATGATGCACTTTAGAGTCCTCTCTATAATGACTCAGAAGCTGATGAGTCTGCTGAAAGTGACAGGAACAGAAAGGATCTCTGAGTGTGTATGGAGATCATACAAGAGAGCATCAAGTTCTAAACCATGGGACTCTCCACAGGCAAGTTCTCCCAGAGAATGCTCACTTGAGTGTAGGAATGACTTCTGACCCTTGATGCCTCATTAGCATGTAGACCTTCTGTGTCAATCATGCTTCTGGAACCAATAGAGACAGGCGCCTGGGTGGCTCAGTCAATTAGGCGTCTGACTCTTGGTTTCAGCTCAGGTCATGATCTCATGGTTCGTGAGTTCAAACCCTGTATCGGGATCTGCACTGACAGTGCAGAGCCTATTTGGGATTCTTGGGTCACTCTGTCTCTCTGCCTTTTTCTCTCTGTCTCTGTCTCTGTCTCTCTCTCTCTCTCAAAATAAATAAATATTAAAAAAAAAATAGAGGCTTCACCCTGCCTCCGTCACCCTACTCCCAAAATTTGGCCCCACCATACCTTTCTGACCTCATTCTACCATTTCCATACAAGTGGCATTTGTGCCCTTACCTGTGTTATACTTTTTCCTGTCCCCCAAGATTTTGCTCCTTCTCTATTTACCTGAATTTCCCTTCCCTTCCACTTCTACTTACTCAAATTTTAACCTTAAAATACTTCCTTAAAATTCACCACGTTGTAATGGCCTATGTTCATAACAATGTGTCTCCTTCCTGAAGATCTACTAGCTAAGCTATATTCTAATTTGATTATATTTAATCATATTAAATTTATCTGGCTATTATTCTGAACATTTCACATGAGACTGGCCTAATATCTTGGCACTTGTGGCTTCCTACGCATGAAAGTGGAGCACCAAATGGATATCCAGAAGAAGCTTAAGGTATGTATTTCTCCACACTGACTCAAATTAAAATCTTCCCTAAAGGCAGCCAGGAATGGAGCAACCAAAGAAATTAAGAGGGGCCATATTCATCACCTGCTCCTTGTGACTTCTCATACTCCTCCCCAAATGGTTTCATAGAGGTGTCTCTAGGCTAGATCTCCCTATCCTTAAGAGCCCCCCAGGAACTACTCTGAGTCCAGGGAACCAATACACTCCCCTGTCACTCCATTAAGATAGCCCTCCTCCTACCCCACTTGTGTTCACCCTCAAAAAGATCCAGGTTTCCATTCTATAAGAAGGGGTAAGCATAAAGTCTTTCTTGCCTTAGCTTTTCCCACTACTCAGGTAAGATTTGTTTCCTTCTGAAGCTCTAGACCATCTGCAACTATTAGGACTAGAGAAAAGATGATTAAAACTCTGGAAGGGAATATGGAGAAAAGGGACCATTAGAGAGAAGAAGGAGAGAATAAGAAGTATAAAGTTACCAAATAAATACTAGCTGGATCTACTGATAATGGTTCAGAGCGTCCCAGGGAGGAAGGCATCGAAAGGAATGAAAGCCCCAATTTATGAGGCTATCCCCCTGCCCCTATGCAGATGCGCTTGTTCAGTGCATGAAGGGCTGTGGGAAGGAATCAATGGGACTATCTATATAGGTGGGGACAGAAATGGGAACAGGGCCAGATTCAGGGAAGTGTGGTCCCCAGGTGAGCTAATAACATGACATATTTCAAGCCAGTATATTTTAAATATTCATTCAACTTCTATTTAGATGAGAGGCTGAGCTTTGCTGGGATAAGTACAGAGAAGAAGAGCCACTGGTAGCATTGTTCTGCCTCTATTCTAAAGCATTGGCGCCAAATTTATGTAAACAAAAGCGCCACCAGAAAACAGATTCATTTTCTTTAGAAGAAAATTCACTGAAAATTTTCCTCACTTCTCTTAACCCCATTAGTTATTAATGCATCCCTTCTTAATAAAAAAAATACTTGATAAAAGTCCTCATAAAAAAAACTCCAGCTCTCTGCTATAATTCTAATGATGTTTAAAAATTCCAATAGTGAGCCAGCAAAGGCAAGGCAGGGAGAAAGGCATTGAGGCATGGATGGCTGTTATTGAGGTTGCAGAAAGAAGGTTACTGTCGGTGTGATGAAGGACTTTCATTTCATTCAGTGGCTTCTGAGGGCCCCATCTCAACCCTGCTGAGTATTCTCAGCAGGAGGGTTCCAGGCTCATTTAGGAAGAAGGATAAGAAGAGAAGAAAGTCACAGGCACAAAGAGGGACATCCAAAGTCTCACAGAAAGTACCTCCCAGGACCCTAAGAGAATATCTAGATGAGAGAGAAGATCCAGAATGGTGGAGAAGGCACAAGGAGCCATACTAAGTGGGAGGGAAGAGGTGCATTATGTGAGGGCACTAAGTTCTGGAGCCAGACTTCCTGGGTTAGTTTCCCAGTTCTTCTCTGACTTGCTGCATGACCTTGGGCAAGTTGCTTTATTCCTGCACACCTTTTTTCATTTGTAACATGTGAGTAGCAATGAACTGCATGAGGTAATTAGGAGGATTAAATCAGTTAATTCAGATAAAGTGCTCCAAAGACTAGGTTATTATTCTTGTTATTATTATTTATAAGCCTCTCTGACCATTGTCCCATTGTTTTCCTCAATAGGCAAAACACCTTAATGAATATTCAGCAACATTAAAGTCTTATTCTTCATCCAAATATGACCAAAGGAAATTCCTTTCCCAAGATAAAGAAGAGTACAAAGGGATGATAAAAGTGCCCAAAGAGAGAAAAACAGCCTGAGAATAGATCTCTCAGATGGACCTGGTGTCTCAGAACCAAGACCAGGCTGGGTGATGCACCAGGCAGGTCCACCACTGATGAACTTAGCTTGGGTCACAACTAACTACCTGGCAGACTTCTCTGGCAAGCTTTGAAAAACACCCATCTGTCAGCAGAAACAGAGACTGTCTCCATCATTTATAGAATCCCAGGATGGAATGATGGGCGTCAGAGCTTCAGCTCTAGAATCAAGGAGAGCCAGGGGAGAGCATCAGGGGAAAGACTTAGTCCAGACTAAGGAGAAATGGAGCCACTTCTTTCCACAGCCCCCTGAGCAGACTTTACTGTCTCTTTTTCCTCCTAGTGTCTTCTTTTCTTCCTGAAAATATGAACCAACTCTATTTTTTGGTTATTCCCATTTTCTCTTTAGGGAGTTATGTAAAAGCTTTTTATGTCTTCATGCAGTTTTAACATTGGAAGACTCTCCTAACATCAGAACAACATATTAAAATGCACTCACAAACCACATCCAGTATAACTGTTAGATAACCATATAGGAGTGAGTCAGTTACTTTTTGGCCTACTTGTATTATGTAGATATTTATTTAATGAGTAGTAATTTTATTTTGCCATTTTCTTTGTGCTTCAGATCTCAAGTGGTTTTCACCATTCTTAGGTTCTTTTCTTATTCTTTTTAAGTTTATTTATTTTGGGAGGTGGGGGGGAGAGAGAGAGAGAACAAGTGGGAGAGGAGCAGAGGGGGGGGGGGGGAGAGAATCCCAACAGGCTCCACACTATCAATGCAGAGTCCAATGCAGGGCTCCAACTCACAAACCATGAGGTCGTGACCTGAGCCAAAATCAAGAGTCAGATGCTTAACCAACTGAGCCACCCAGGCACCCCATACCACTCTTAGGTTCTTCAAAAAGTACAGGCTCTACACCCTGAAGCATGTCCCAAACAGATAAAACAGCCTGCCCCTCAACCCAGGTTAAAAGGGTGGGCTCTGTTTGCAGCAAAATGTATAGGAAAGATTAGTTATAAGATGTGTCACAAGAGATTCCTTTTGTACATAAGGTACAAAAATTTGTGAATGGTTTATTCTTTTAATAAATTGGAGAAAATGCAGATTTGTCTCTAATAACTTCACTCTTACATGCACTTAAAGCCAGCATGTAAAATGTTTTCATAATCTTAAGTCAGTGTTATCTATACTGTAGAGGTGCTGATATACCCTTAATTCACTGACATAGTGACTCATATTTTTTAATAAATAAATATCTCAAGAAAAATTTCCACCTACCCATTTGTTTCACTCCCTGTATTTTGAAGATTTTGTAAAAATCTGAGTAAGCATATGGTGGTGTATCATGTGTAAATATCATCCACCATATTTTTATGTTGTGATGGCAAAAACATGGAGAACCCAGCTCCAAGGCACACTCTCTTGTCCCAGTCTCTATACTTGTTCTGCAAAGTACAGGATGGAAGACAGAAAGGGGAGAACTTTTCTGGCTTAGACACACCTGCTAACCAGATTACCAAGAAAAGTTTCCTCAAGAGTCCTCCTCACTCTGGAACCGGGAGTTCACAGCATTAAGCACAGAGTGTGGCATATCATAGGTACTTAGGAAATAATTTGAACAAATGACCATGGAATTAGTAAGTTAATCTTTCACCAGTAGTTTTACCTGTTTCACCAAGGTGGTGATCAAAATCTGAGCCATTTTCATGAATAGCCCCCACTGATAAACCCTGCCTTGGTACAGCCTGATTCTGACTGTTCTATAAATTGCCCTCAAACATTTATCAGGGGTGCCTGACTGGCTCTGTCAGTAGAGCATGTGACTCTTGATCTCAAGCCCCACACTGGGTACGAAGGCTACTTAAAAAAAAAATTGTTTTAAATCAAGAAGAGTCTTTTCCCCCACATTCTCCTGGCATTCTTCCCCATTCTGCATTCTCATGCCACCTCCTAGTCCCACTGACATTTCCCCCAGTGTCCATCCTTCCCACCCTGTGCTCTGCCATACTGCAATCTGTCATCCTTTGTCTCATTCTCACACCTCTACTTCCTCTCTCCCAGTTCTAGTCTCTGTTCTTCACAGATACTCCTAAACACACACACTCACACTCCTGCCAATCCCTCCCCCTGCCACCCTCGATGCTCTTAAACTCACCTACTATATCATAGTATCAGTTGAAGCACTGACAAAGTGATAGAACAGAGCTCAAAACGTTGCTTGTTCTGAGAGAAGAGGAATGAGAAGGAAAGGGAAAGCTGAAGCTTGATCATCTTGACATGAGGGG